AAGGGCGTGTGGTTTTTTCTTGGACTCGCTGTACTGACTTCTAGGGCGAGTCTGTCGGAATACCTCAGAGTCCCCCGTACCTTCATGTTCCTTTGGGACCTGTCGTTCCTTCCCTAGATTGGCAGCTGGCCTGGGTCGTGGGAGGGGACTGAGTCTTTTAGAAACCCTTGGGTCATTAATCTTCGAGCATATGTGGAGGGGATTCTCTCGACGTTGCTTTAGGAAGTCTCGGCAGTCACGATAAACGGCTATCGATCCTTCCAACCCTTCTATAAGGAAGTGTCTTCCTCCACTTTTTCTACTTCGGGTCGAAGCATCTGGGTTGAGAGAAGTCTTAAGTTGATCAATGTTTTGATGATTAGCTCGCTCCTCATCAGGGATACCCATGTCGAAGGGAGGTGACCCTCCGTGTTGGGGGGCACCCAGATGATGGTTGATGTCTACAGGGGCAACGAGCTCGCATGTTTGAGTACGCCTAGTTTCGTGGAGCGTCTCAAAGAGCTTCTCATACTGCTCCTAAAGGACCTCATTCTTCATTGCTATCTTATTGTTCTGAGCTTCTAGCTCATCGACTTTAGCTTGAAGAGCAACCCTCTTTCCTTCCTTCTTTCGTTGTTTCGCACTAAGTGCAAGATGGGTGTCATTCTGTGTGTTGTGGCTTCCTTCGCTCCCTATGTTGGAGAGGGATGCCTGGTCAAAAGCGAGTGTACGAATGGTGAAAACCAACTTGGCAAAGTTGAAGAGAGTGGGAATAAGTGTCGTTCCCACAGATGGCGCTAAATGTTGATGCACAAAATCAGCGAGGACTTTGGTACAACAGAAAGTGTTAAGTTTGTGACCTTCGCTAGATTGATCCGGTCACTAGTGTGGATAAGTAAGTAAATGGATAGGGACAGGGAAGCAAACACAAGATGTACGTGATTCACCCAGATTGGCTACGTCCACGGAGTAGATGAGTTCTCATTAATTGTGAAGGGTTTACACAAGTACATAGGTTCAAGCTCTCCTTTAGTGAGTACTAGTGAATGATTTAATACAAATGACATTAGGAAATATTGTGAGAGAATGATATCTATTTATAGAATAAAGTTTCTAGTTTCATTCTGACATTGACACGTGTCGTGTTGTGATTGGCTTCTGATGTCGACACGTGTCGCGCTGTGATTGGCCTTCTGGTTGGAGGGAAACTCTTATGGGTCCTTGACGGTATAATGTTGACCAGTGCTCAGTAGTTTCGGGATTGGTCAAGTATGGTACAAACACAAATTAATGTGATCAAAATATTAATTTGCAGCTTCCTTTTCCTCCGAGTGTCAGCTTTTGACATATGGGCTTTAATAGCTCTGTCATGGAGGACAGAAGGGTTTCTCCTAAAACACAAAACAGCTTTAGATTGCACTGCATGCCTTGGGAGATGCAATAGAAAGGGTATGTAATATGTATGAATACGTAGCTTTAAGCTAGGCAGCTGAATAGCAGGCAAAAGAATGTTGCCGTTTGCTCTTAATTATTTAGGCGTTTGAGCCCCTTGACTCTCTGATATAGCCCCTTCAAAACTTCAAACTTGTTCAAAGAAATTCTGTTTTGTTTAATTTTATAACTAAGCAGTGTTGTAATTAAATTACTCTAATTTACAGCAAATTTGAATTCAAGCATAAAGTGACGGACTAACTGCTATACCCAACTGACGTAACCCACGTTAAAAAAAATTATGTTTGTTTTAATTTGGTCATAATTAGGTAAATGATGTCTGATGAATTGAATTCTGCTGAAGGCATTTAATGTTGTTTGGTGAGGAGGCATTCTGTTCAAAGCTACAGATGTTGATATATCAAACTAGTCTTTCACTGTATATCCTGGGACGCCCTCAGTAAATGCATGTCCTCATAACCCTTCTTTTTATTATTATCCCAGCTCTTTTTCTTTGCTTTTGTTTTCGCCCTCCCAAATATCGAATCCCCTTATTTCTTTTGCCTCTCTATCTCCCCGGCCCTCTCGAAGGTCGCTTTTTATATGTGTTTTGTGGGACTTTCCTGCATATATTTTGGTCCTCCTTGTTGACTTCTGGGTCAGTCGATTTTTCTGTATAATGAGACTCGCTGAGATTGCAGTTTTGTTGACCTTGGTTTTGGCTTGTATCAGATCAAATAATGCAGCTTCAAAGTCCAGCTTCTTCCTCCCTCCCTTTGATCATGAGCATCATCACGATGTTGGAAAGAGGGTGAAGGGCTCGTCAGCAAATGGAAGAGTGTTGGGAGGGGCAGCAGCTAATTTCAGAGAGTTCTGCAAGTCCAAGGGGGACCAGTTTCATGATTTTTTCTTTCACTCTAAGAACACAAACTCAGATAGCAAAAGGGTTGTTCCCACTGGTCCTAATCCCTTACATAACAGATAACTTATTAGGAGGGAAAATTTAAGCTTGCTAGCTAGCTATAGCCTTGATGTAATAGTACTAATACCCTTCATATTTGTCTTTTTTAGGAGTGAGGCATATTGCTTCTCCTCTATGTTGATGTTTGTCTTTTTTTTTATATTAAGTTACAGAGAAGAATTATCCAAGATTATTAGCTTCTCAGCTTGGCGCTTCTCTCTAATTTGTAATTTTATCTTCCTTTGTTTTATGTAATTTTAGTGATATAACTAAATGAGTTTCGTTATGTCTACTTAGTTACCTACTGAATTTTGAAGATCAATTTATCTATTTAACAATTTTGAAGTAACCTTTTCTTTTGTATATGCAATATATCGATGCATCGTAAAAAAATTTTGTTACTATGATCTGCTTTCTTTTTGCTTCCCTTTGGTCCATACCTTCTGTTGGAAAGAGGAGGGTATGCAAAAGTTGGCGGGGGCTCCTAAAACTAAAAGAAATCGGAGGAAATCCCTTGTACAAACAAAACTGTCTGAAATGGAAAACGTCCTTAACTATATGAGGAATGCTTGGCTTCTTAAGATTGTAAGATTGAGGAGTTCCTCTTCAATTTACTCTCTAGCCGATTTCACAGGCTTCGTGTTTATGATCAGAATTATTTAGAGTACAAATCATTATGTAAATATCCTATCTACAAAGAATCAATTAAAATTGAGGTCATTTAGTCAATAAATTGTAGCAAATAGATAGATAGTTCACAATGCTTTTATCAAATTCATCCATCTGATTTTATATATTTTTATGACTAAAGATTCTCATATTTTATTAATTATTTAAGGTTATGATCATAAGTCCGGAATTTTGTAAATCGATCACGAAATGAATTGAGAAGCCAATAAATTTATTCCAAATCAAATTTCTGTAAAAAAAAAAAAAACTTATTAAAATTCTAATATACACAAATTAATGACATGCACCGAATGAATAAAAAATTAAATGTTCTCTAAAATTCCCAATACATACTAGAAAACATCACAAACTTGATTTTTCTGTAACAGCTGCTGCCGAAACATGGCATTAAATTCGAAGCTACTTTTTTCTTGTAATAGGTACAGATCTTTGTTAAGCTTCTCATATTTTTGTCTTGTTCTTTTGTCACTTCTTGATTTGCAGTTGTGATCGTGGTATTATTATTTATTTCTCCCTCATTGTCTTTAGGTTGGCACAGCACAGTGAGAGGGGTGCTGCCGTCGCGGTGGGGTGTGTGTTTATGGTGCAGTGCGAAAAGTGTCAAGGCTGGGGTGACAGAGAGAGAGAGAGAGGATGTTGGGGTTCGTGTATGAGAGTTGAAGACGTATTATTTAATTTATCAAGTTGAAGAAAGAGTATAAGTATGATTTTGGTTATGATTGTTTTATGTGGTCAATGTTCTTTTGGTTTTCTTCTTTTAGTCAATTTACATAAGTAGTGGTGAAACTAGAAAATCTTAATAAACCCTAGGCCGGAGACATAAGCGTAGTCGTAATGGTTATAGCATTTGTTTTTTAACATCCATGTGAATTTCAAACTACTCTCTTTGAATATATATTAGGTTGAAGAAGTCATTTGGTATTAACAAATTTTATATGTCCAAGATATCTACAATAAAAGATGTGTAATTTAATGAGGATAAATGAAGCTTATAATCCGCTTTGAAGCTGTAGAGTCAAGTGGTCCTAAGTACGATCTCTAGAACAATATCAATCGTACCCAATCCACGTTTATCATGCAAATGATCATTTTGTCTAATAACACTCGATCGCTACTTTGTACACAAATTACTGTTGATCATTTCCATTTTCATTTCACTATCTGAATTTTCCCTTAGTTTGAATTAGTGTTGCAGAGAAAATGGGCGCCTGATCAGCTGTTGGTCTCTTTGCTGATGTCAGACTGTGGCTAGGGTTACAAGAAGGTTGATAATGTTTTCTTCTTGGCAAAACGGTAACCCTCCATTTACTAGTTTGGGTGTGAGTAACAAGAAAAAGCTGCAACTAGGGTTCAACTTTATTTCTCAATTGTACATTTTCAAACCCTAAGTTCGGCAATTTGCTGTACAATTTTACCCATAATCTTAATTGCACCAATAAATCAAACCTACTCATACTTTCTAATAATTCTATGTCCATGAGTCAAACCACAATCGCATACCTCATGTTTTAAACAATGAAATGTCATTACTCAACTTATGAATTTGTTGAAATGTCATACATTACATTCGTTAATTTTTCTATCCATTTGGATGTTAAATGATGACATGGCAGGAGCGAGGCCCATTCCTTCGCCACGTCATCATTTAATATCCAAATTATTATTTTTATTAATTTTTTATTATAAATTATTAAAGGGAATTGTTATTAACACTTCAAAAATCTCATTTGGTACTCCAAACTTTCTATAATTATAAAGAAAACTACACTAGTAAGGAGTGTAGAATGAGAATTCCCTTATTAAATTTTTATTAATAAAAAATAAATTATTAATTAATTTTTTTTTCCAATTGGGGAAGGAGTGGGGTCCGCTCCTTCCACATCATCATTTAACAGCCAAAATGTCAAAAAACTTAATGGAGGTATGACATTGCAAAGAATTCATAAATTGAGGTATGGCATTGCAATGTTTAAAACATGAGTCATGAAATTGTGGTTCGACATGTAGTTGAGGTAGTCTTTAGAATCTCGAGGTACAAGTAAAAATATTTACCACCAAGCAGAACCTTTTTCTATGAAAATTAAAAAAAAAAATGACATATATGTAAAAACCTAGGGGGGAAACAAAACAAACCAAATACTTTGTAGCTACATTTGAAATGTTACCGTGTGCATGAAGACCTCTCATATACCCTTTTGAACTTTCTTCCGAAATACAAGAAGCCTGAAAATGTCGTCAAGTGGATGGTTTAGCTAACGAGGGAGGCTCACTCTGCAAGGGAGATGGGAAAGCCTCACTTATAGAATCCCATGAAATGTTCTGGTTCTTCGTTCGCCTTCTTCCCAAGAAGGCGGGTTTCATAGGTGTTCCGACCATTTCAACTTCGCATGTTAACATTACTACAACCTCCGACATCGGGGGCCTAAGGTTTGGGTGCGGCTGAAGGCAGAAGAAGGCGACTTGGGTTGCTTGCAAGACATCCCTTTCCACATATCCATCTTCTTTTATTTTTGGATCTATCAGATCAATCACATTCGACGTCTCAAACAATTTCCATGCCTAAAATTTTAAGGCACAAGGTCAGTGGCAAGATTGAAAACTATATATTAACAGAATGATCGTAAGCTTCTGTACGAGCAAGCATTAATCAAAGATAGATCGGCCTACATATTCAGGGAGGTATTGCATATCTGATGATAAAGTGAGATCTGTGTTTTTTCTACCGCTGATTATTTCGAGCACAAGAACTCCAAAACTATAGATGTCCGCCTTTTCAGATAATTCTCCTCTAATAGCATACTCAGGTGCCGTATATCCTCTGAAGAACAATTCATATTAGGTACTATAGTTTCATAAATAAGTCATCGGTTAGATGGCATATGCATTACGGAATCTTGAACAAATATACAGAACGTGCCATCTAATCAATGACTGATGAAGGGGTCTTGTGGAAAATATCATATCAGTTGAAGGACTTACAAAGTTCCAGCAAATGTAGTGCTGAGATAAGCTTGGTCTTCAGGGAAGAACCTAGCCAGCCCGAAATCTCCAATTTTCGGTTGGAATTTGTCGTCAAGAAGAATGTTGCTTGCCTTGATATCTCTGTGGATAATTCTTAGGGGGGAATCCTCATGTAGATATTGTAACCCTCGAGCAATACCGACAATTATCTGGAACCTGGTGCTCCAGCTCAAGAACTGATCACTCTTTCCTGTTTTCCATCAAGAATAATTATAAGTAACATATACACTGAAAGTTTAATGATTCTTTGCACCGGTCAAAGTGTTAAGTTTATGTGCTCAGTTTAACTCATTTTGTCATAAGAAGTAGAACTTGGAACAAGTCCTCATCATAGTTGGATACAATGCAAAGTACAGTGAAGATGTAATACCATAAATAATGAGGTCCAAGCTCCTGTTCTTCATGTATTCATACACAAGAAGCCGTTGCGGCCCATCAGAGCAGCATCCGATAAGACGAACCAAGTTCCTGTGTTGGACGCTTGTGATCAACTTTACCTCTGTAAGAAACTCTGATTCTCCTTGTTGGGATTTGTCAAGGCACAATTTCTTAGCAGCAATTAACGTCCCATCTCCTAATCTCCCCTAAACAAAAAGATACAAATAAGACTTAGAAATAAAGGAATCCACCCATATATGCCTCAAAAATCCGAAGAGTTTTGTCCAAATAGATCCGAAAGTTTTGTTTAGAAACCTTAAGAGTTCAGTGAAACTATATGTAGTAAGTTGTGGTTGGAATGAAGGCCTCAAACTTGCACGTTTGAGAAAATAAAAAAGTACCACCAATGTTGGTTTCGTGGATTCAGTAATCATACCCGATAGACAGGGCCAAATCCACCTACTCCAAGGAGATTACCAGGATGAAAGTTCTTGGTTGCCTTCTTCAATGTCTTAAAATCGAAGTAGCTTATTGTTCGAAGCATCCCACTGAAAACATCTGTCGATGCTGCATTAAGAATACAGAATATTATGATTGAGGTCTTACTAAAATATTGGTTAGTTATTTTTTAGATTAATCTATAGTACAACCTGCTGGCCGCCTTCTCACTACTGCTACCAATTTCTTAGTATCTTCTGGCTTGATCTTTTTCCGAAAGACAAATAGAAGAACTAGCAATATTATGAGCGTGACTAGCCCTCCAAGGAAAAAGAACAGCACTGGAGACTGCGACTTAGAAGCAGGGGGACCCGTTGTCGTAGAGGATACTGAAGAAATCTCTGCAACCAAATATAGTGTTAACATATGTTTAGTCATTTAGGGTCCTTGAATTGAAAAAACATGTGCTTATAAGGAACAAATGATGGGACAACGGGATTTAATCATTCTAGTGCATGGATCTGTGCATGTAACACAAGTCTCTTGAGGCAACTTCATATATATATATATATATATATGTAATATCTTCATTCACAATTAGCCATTGCAATCAAAGAAAAATAAAATAACACACTCAACTATCACAAATTCTGGTGATCTGATGCCGTTGGTGGGTTAAGTAGATATACGAAACTGTTTGTTGGCATGAGTGTGTGGAATTGCTTGTAGCACAAGGTTTCATCAAGGAGAAGCTTGAGAGGCATATAACAACTGACATCCGAGTAGCGATTCAGTCTAATATTTCGTATATAATATCATCAAAACTGAAGAATTTGTGAATCTTTATTTAGTCTAATGAGAACGAATACACAGGGTTTACACTTCACAGTCAAAACAATTATCTTCCAACTGTGGCAAATCGACAAACATGAGGAGCGTGGCCCTGTATACGGAGAACAAGTTGGAGAACATATCCATACAACAACAAATGAACGTGGTCTTTACAATTTTATCACAACAATTAATTAAGTTACATCAGATATAATTTTAAGGTACTGAAGAACATTGTTTTTCCAGTGAAGCAATCGTCACGTACCTTTTAGTCCTCGGGCTGTCATTGTGTATACCTTGAAGCTCCAAGGGGTCTACGCCGAAGCTGCAGCAGACAACAATGGAAATGTGGTGATGGTGTTGCTTGCAGCTTAACAACAGCAGTGACTGCCACCATCCATTCTTCTCGTTCGATCTCTTTCCATCTTCCTTGTTTGTTTCGTGTTCTTTTTCTTTTTCTCGCGTTGGCAAAACCGCTGTGGGGGAGAGAGAGAGAATATAAAAGAGTAACATAAGAGTAATCGAAGGAATGGAATTTCGGACATTACGATATGTGGCATTTTGGTCACTTTCTTCCATTCCAAACGACAACCTCAATGATTTAAAATAACACACTCGTAAGTATTCACTCAGACTGATGATAATAATAATAAGATCAACATGCCATTCCAAAGTGGTAACTCCTGGCTTTGGATCTTTATGAATTATAACATGTTCACTCGTCTAGAATGAGTAAAATCATCGGATATTGGGGAGATACTATCCTAATTGAATTTCCTATCATTGCGTATTGTAGTGCGGGAGGAACTTTTTTTTCTTCTTTTTTTAACTCCGTACATGTTAGCAAAAATAAGAGAAGTCATAAGTCAGAATAATTTAAATATTCATGTGTTTGTGAGCCCGAAAAAGATAAGAATAATAATGATTTCACTTTTCTTTCAGACAAAATGTGTCATAAATTGATTTCACCAAACATGTTAATACTTTTTGGTTATGACTCAAGTTAAGCCTCTACTAAAAGATATGTTACCTTAATCAACACGTCCTCTCGTACACCTAGAGAATTAATTCAAATTGCGTATTTAATCAATGGGCGAAAAAGAATTCAAACTTGCAACTTCTTCTAACATTAGGAAGAGAAGTATCATCAGTCTTAAATTCACACCATAAACTTAGTGCCACCTAATTAATAAATAACATTCACAGCTGTTGGTATGACAAAATCGCATTTTTCCAACCTGTTGGTATGACAAACATAATGACAAGCTGCAAGGGAGGATCTAAGTAAATATACACACAGTAATTTACACGAAAATTTGTATTCACATTTTTATAGATACACAGATGTCAAGTGCAAAAGAATTAATATCAATCTGCAAAACAAATACATAAAAATGTAATGACAATTGTAAGACGGCCTTAACAATACGAACGGATTTTAACTCAAACTTCCAGTGAAATGATAGTATGATAGGCGTGTTGCCATGTCATGGCGTGCAAAAAACCTTCATGGCTACCTCCCGCCACTAAATCAAGGTTTTATGAACTTGGAAAATGTTTTCATCCCTTCATAACGATTCTGCCATGTCGTTCCTTGAAGGCTTGAACCCTGTCAACTGAGGATTTGTTTGCTCATGTTTCTTGGAGCACCAAAATAACAACTTTAGACGTCAACTCATTAGGGAATAATTGCACTAGAAAACTACTTCTCTCCTTTTTATCGTTTTCAATGAAGAAGATACGACTTTGTAGAGGAAATTGGAATGTTAAATGCCTTTTAGGGACGCATAGTTGTGGAATTTATCCTGCATACAGCACAATTAATATATTTAGCACTTGAGACAAGGGTTTCCCTGACACTAGATTTGCAAGTTTTTGTGATATCTGTATGAATCGTATAAATAGGTAACAGCATATGAAGAATCGATACCTTGTTCCGAACTGCCTTTTTGTTGTGAATTTCATGACTCCTTGGAAGACGATGGATAAAATGTTTTCTCCATATGAGACGGGCATATTCTGGATGATCAACAAAAGGATTTCTATTGTGTTGATAAAACTTGCATACTCTTTCATTTCTTAACTTCTCTTCTCTTGAAGGTGGATCACTATCGTTCCACTTTAACAATGTAGAAAGCAGTCCCATCTCACCGGTTGCTGTCGCATGCACCCAAAAAGTTCATGCTCAAAACAGGTACAAATTCTTAATTCCCAACTAATAAAACAATATATGCATGCAAGAATGAACTCACAAAACCAATTATAAACTGCATTTCTGCCCCACGTTTAGCTGCAATGCCTCTTAATTCTCATATAAAAGGGATTGTGCTTACATGGCAACAGAGATGCAACACTAAAATCGAATTTGATCTCAAACTAGTCAAAGATTATTTTTCCAATTATACTTACAAATTTTTGGAGAATCTGAAAGGCGAAGAGCTGGGCCTCCACCTGGTTGATGAAACCCATAACACACTGCCATGTACATCAGTGCCCTAGCAACATCTCCTCTATGCTAGAAGAAATAAAGCAAGTTACAGCCAAAAATCAAGGGTTCAGTCTTCAATGCCATGCTAGAACTAGAATCCTAGAACCTCAGTCAAACACTCCTTTCGATCAAGGAGACAACGGATCCACACTTCAAAAGGAACTACACCATTTGGCCATTCCCATATCAATAAGAACTCTGAATACCAAAAACAATTTTACACAATTGCAGAACAATAACAGAAATAAAAGTAATGTAACAAGATATATATTTTATATGAGGGTACCAGAATATTATAATCCTTGCTACCCGAATAGACCTTTCTTAATGTAACAGGATATATTTATATGATGACCAGAATACTAGAATCCTTGCAACCATTGATAAGCCTTCTTTCAAACCTAAACTCCTAAATGAGGGTACCAGAATACTATAATCCTTGCTACCATGAATATGCCTCCTCTCAACCCTCAACTGCTAAGGCATGCATGGGTATAACATCCAAATTTACAACTTGTGTGGCACATGTTGCGTGCATTGTGAGAGATTAATACCCTGTTTGATACCAGTACCACTGCTTTTGGTATCTTCAGAATTTTCTTCTACTTGTGAAAGGACCCTCGGAACTTTAATAAAATCCAAATATGTGGGTTTTACTTTTGATTCTGCTTGCTCAAAGTTTCATCCTGCCATATTATTATTTGTGTTTTTCAGGATCTCTTCTCATTTCATAAATTTCCAACATTCGATGGTAAACAATATGGTTTTAACAACTTCAATCAGATTAAAATATATGATACATATCTACGTGCTAGCACAGGAACATGAAAAGAATTATGATATGCCAAAATATAGCTAAAATACCTGTTTAGGTGGTGCCCATCTGTCCTTGTCAGTTTCCGTGTCCAAAGCGGCTTCTTTGTTTGCTGGCTTCAAACATTTAGCTGAGTTACCCGTGCATTCTCCATAGTATTTGTTCCCCCTGGATGCATTGACTGCAGGACACTTCAACTATTTTACATCAAAACACAAGAGACCTGATTTTCACAATACATACAGGCAGTGGCCCATCTTACCATTCACATCTGCTGGGCGAATGTTGTGTATATCTGTCAAAGACGCACCATCTTTTAACCCATAAGAACGAGGCCATAGATGCTCCCCTAGAAAACAGAAACATTAACATTTAATTTCTTCCAAACAGAAAATAGAAAATAGAGCTTGGAGATTGATATATTTTGCAGAGCAAAAATAGGCAACTGTGTATAATAAAGGGTCAAGCGTTGGAACAATAAAAAATAAAAAATAAAAATAAAAAACAACTTGATAGAAGGCCGACCTAAAAGAAACACTGCAAACGAACAAAAATTCATTTCATTTGAAAATGTCAGTACGTCTACCTAATCAAAGGATGTAACCAGTATCTAGACAGAGATTTATGAGCCAAAATTGTGCTACTTTAAACTTCTTTTAGTTAGAGTAGTCAATGTAACATATACAATTGTTATACCTTTCACTAATTTCTCTATTTGAAGTTTAAACATTAAAACAATAAATATCTCACGTTTCTAAGTATATCTGTCCTGGAAATACAAAGACCATAGAAGAGCAAACTGCTAAAGGTGGAGCTGCAGCAAATCGATTACCATAACCACAGACCATTAGAATGCAAGAAACCAACATCAAAATCATACATGCTGCAGAAAGTCTGGTTAATTGACTCACTATTCCATCCTTCGGGCTTCCCAGCTAAAGACTTGGGTACAACCCTCAAGGAGTAAACTTCAACTCTGCATAAAAGAGTCGGTAGGCGAATTGGTAAGAGTTGCAGGGTATATTTGATAGTACAAAAAACAATGCAGGAAGCAGTATTCAGCATATACATTCCTGACGAAGCTTCTGGGTTGTCAACATCCGAAGCATCAAGAATCTTGAGAGCTTTCCACACCTATTTCCACAAAAATCGAAAATCTAGAATCATATATTTTATTTTATTTTTTGAACAAACGATATTATCTATACTAAGAGGGAGAGGGTGGGCTTAGCCTCACAATGGGCTAGCAACAATGTGGTTCAAACTCGCCTGGAAGCATCAAGAATACCCTTAAACCGTGGTACTAAGTGGCTAAAATCAAGAATCATATTAGATTTTACTAAAACGTAGCAATACAACAGGAGCAATAGTGAATGTTAATTGCTAAATACCTCTCTGTAGGATAAAGATTGGTGCCCGGAAATAATGGAATTCAATTTTTTCTTGAGCGATTTGCCCTCTAAATTCTCCGCACTGTCATAATAATTGCTAACATCTTCACAATCATACATAAAAGAAGGAGATGGATCATCAAATGCCTCAGCATCAGCAACAACATTGAGAAACAACAAATAAAAAGAGATGATCTGAGAAACCCATCTCCAAGAAACACTGATGCATTTTCTGTAATTCCATCTGCACCCAGAAAGAATGCAACAATTACCCAATTGCCCCACTACCATCTTAAACTTTATCAGCAACCCAGAATTGAAATACCGAAAAAGGTGAGAGCTTGGAGGTTACCGACCTTGTAGAAATGAGGGAAGTGGTTGGAGAGACCAAATTATTATCTGGGTTGCGATAGTTGCAAGCTAATTGGAATGAGGATTTGAAGTGTTCGCCGCGGCTGCGGGAGAAGGTGGCGCTCTGCTTGCGGACGGCGGTGCTGTCGACGACAGATTTTGTGCAGTGGAATTTGGTGGCCACCACAACGGGATGCTGCATTCTATCGGTTTAGAATTTGCATACCCGCCACAACTGGTGTTGAGTTAGAAGGTGGATTGTCCGCCCCTCTCATTTCCATACTTTTTTCATCCCATTCTCACCAATTAAGCCACGATAATGTTTTATATTAATTTTCTAATAAAAATAATAAAATAATAAATAATATAAATATAAAATATTGACATGATTTAAACCACACAAAACAGAAGGAGATAGAAAAACATGGAAATGAGAATGCCACCTCCATTGAGTTAAGCCAACTGGTTAATTTTCTACAAGGTTAATTACGCATACATGTACCACACCTGATTTTCGTTTTTCACAAAATCCTTTTAACATAAGTTTAATTACACTAGCACACCGTGATGTTTATTTAGTTTTCTAGAGAGTTTTATTATTTATATTGAAGAAAACAAAATTCATTTTTATTTTTTGAGAAATTAGGTTTTCATCCCTCATTTTGCTACTTCATTGATTAAAATTTTATTCTTTTTTCAATTTTTGATCAAGGTCCTTGGGTATTAATAACATCATTAATTATTTCAATAATAAAATATTTTTGCCTAAAAATATTCATTTAGTGTTAAAAATGTTACAATTAGTATATTTATATTTATGGCTAAATTTTTTATCATATATTTTTATTTTTAGTTTGTACCCTTTTTTAATTTGCAAACTTTTTTTAATTTGTACCAATTTTCTTTTCAATTTTAATTTGTACTACATATGGTATATTTATGTTGAGATACTTTGGATGTGGTCCTTAGTCTCTAACACTCTTTGATTAAAACCTTAATGATATTCAAAGTTTGATCAAAATTCCTTGACTTTGTACACCTCATGTAAGATCCCACATCGCCCAAGGATAAGGATCTTGTAAGCCTTATATGTATATTCTTATCTCTACCTAGCATGAGGCTTTTTGGGAGCTTACTGGTTTCGAGTTCCGTCGGAACTCCGAAGTTAAGCGAGTTCGCGCGAGAGCAATCTCATGATAGGTGACCCACTGGGAAGTTCTCGTGTGAGTTCCAAAAACAAAATCGTGAGGGCGTGGTCGAGGCCTAAAGCGGACAATATTGTGCTATGACGGAGTTGAGCCAAGGATGTGGTGGGGCCCAGGTCAGGATGTGATAATTTGGTATCAGAGCCAATCCCTGGCCAGATGTGTGCCGACGAGGACATTCGACCCCTAAGGGGGTGGATTGTAAGATCCCACATCGCTCAGGGGTGAGGATCTTGTAAGCCTTATATATATATTCTCATCTTAACCTAGCACGAGGCCTTTTGGGAGCTCACTGGCTTCGGGTTCTGTCGGAACTCCGAAGTTAAGCGAGTTCGCACGCAATCCCATGATGGGTCACCCACTGGGCTGGGAAGTTCTCGTGCGAGTTCCAAAAAACAAAACCGTGAGGGCGTGGTCGGGACACAAAGAGGATAATATTGTGCTACAGCGGAGTTGAGCCAGGGATGTAGTAGGGGCCCGAGTCGGGATGTGACACCTCATTATATTACTATTGTTTGTACCATACTTGACCAATCCCGAAACTACTGAGCACCGGTCAACGTTATACCGTCAAGGACCCAGAAGAGTTTCTCTCCAACTAGGAGGCCAATCACAGAGCAACACGTGTCGACATTAGAAGGTAATCATAGTGCGACACGTGTCAACATCAGAAGTCAATCACAACACGGCACGTGTCAATGTCAAAATGAAACTAGAAACTCTATTCTATAAATAGAGATCATTCTCTCACAATATTTCTTAATGTCATTTGTACTAAATCATTCACTAGTACTCACAAAAAGAGAGCTTGAACCTATGTACTTGTGTAAACCCTTCACAATTAATGAGAACTCCTCTACTCCATGGACGTAGCCAATATGGGTGAACCACGTACATCTTGTATTTGCTTTCTTGTCTCTATCCATTTACATACTTATCCACACTAGTGACCGGAGCAATCTAACGAAGGTCACAAGCTTAACATTTTCTGTTGTACCAAAGTCCCTTGCTGATTTTGTGCATCAACATTTGGCGCCGTCTGTGGGAACGACTTATTCCCACTCTCTTCAGCTTTGTTAAGCTAGTTTCCACTATTCGTACACTCTATTTTGACCAGGTATCCCTCTCTAACATGGGAAGCGAAGGAAGCCACAACATGCAGAATGACACCCCTCTTGCACTTGGTGTGAGGCAACGAAAGAAGGAAGGAAAGAAGGTTCTTCAAGCTAAAGTCGATGAGCTAGAAGCTCAGAACAATAAGATAGCAATGAAGAATGAGGTCCTCCAGGAGCAGTATGAGAAGGTCTTTGAGACGCTCCACGAAACTAGGCGTAATAAATCACGCGAGCTCCTTACCCCCGTGGACATCAACCATCATCTGGGTGCCCCCCAATACGGAGGGTCACTTTCCTTTGACATGGGTATCCCTGATGAAGAGCGAGCTAATTATCAAATCATTGATCAACATGAGACTTCTCTTAACCCAAATGCTTCGACCCGAAGTAGAAGAAGTGGAGGAAGACATCTCCTTGCATAAGGGTTGGAAAGATCGAAAACCGTTTATCGTGACTGCCGAGACTTCCTAAAGCAACGTCGAGAGAATCCCCTCCACATATGCTCGAAGATCAATGACCCATGGGTTTCTAAAAGACTCGATCCCTTTCCACAACCCAGGCCAGCTGCCAATCTAGGGAATGAACGACAAGTCCTAGAGGAACATGAAGGTACGGGGGACTCTGAGGTATTCCGACAGACTCGCCCTAAAAGTCAGTATGGCGAGTCCAAGAAAAAACCACACGCCCTTGCTTAAACTTTCCTACTTCCAAGAAGCAATGGAGACTTACGAAAGAAAATTTCAGTGGCACATGACTCCACTCAGGAACCTTTTGTCCTACAGCTCCTTGAGGAAGTAAACAAGTTGAAAGCCGAATGTTAGGCCGAGATACCTGACTGGAACTAACCCAGGCCTAGTCCTCTCACAAGAAGGATCCTCGACACCCCTCTTCAAGTGAAGACAAAACAAAAACTTGGTTTACAACTCTATACTGGAAGGGAAGACCCAATTGAACACCTTAACCTCTTTGAGTCCACCATAGCATATCAGATGCACACCGACGAAGAGCGATGTCTTATCTTCCCCTCCACCCTCTCTGGCGAAGCTCTAAACTAGTATTGTCGTATTCTACCTGAGATAGTAGACTCATTTGAGGAATTGAGGAAACTGTTTGTCTCTCAACACATCTTCCAGACCGATCACTTGCATTCTGCATATGACTTGTACACTATTCGCCAGAAGTCGGATGAGTCACTACGAGAGTATGCCGGTCGCTTCAGCCATAAGTATTCTCGCTGCGTTGAGACAGATGACAAGACCGCCCTCAAGGCCTTCACGGCAGGCCTACGTGATTGTTTCTTCAAGTACATAATCAGTGCCAACACTTGGAAGACTTACTTTGAGGTGATGGCACAGGCTTACAACCACGCCTCCGCCGAAGCAAGGACATACTAAGGGAACCCCCATATGGTTAACCCCTATCAACAAGTGGGAAGTGGAAGTTAAGTTCTACCAAGTGAGGAGATATTGGCCATTCAGACACCCATTGCATCATCTCCTGCCTCATTTAGCTACTCGCTAAGTCACCAAACGTATATGTCTCTTGGTAAGAGGAAGAATTTTTACTCTCAGCAAGCCCATTACAACAAGAGGGATAAAAGTTCGTATCAAGACAATCAGGGGTGAATGTACCGTCGACTATTATGACTATGGGGCCAAGCCTCACTCTTTTAAAGTGGAGGACTAGGTATTGAAGGAAATCCTATTATAAGAAGGCATACACATTACAAATGTTTTGACTCTCAACCATTTGAGATTTTTTGTCACACAAACCATTCGGCAAATATTTAAAGAAGAGGGAATTCAAACAACTTCTTCTGAGTCTTTTGCGTTCCCAGCACTGGAACACTTGGTCTACGCTGACCTACCTTTATACTCCAACTCAGAGCATCAACATGCGTACTTTGACACAAAGTATGTGATACTAAGTGTTACAACCAACATGGTTCACATATCAAAAGCATGGATCCCTTAATGCATAGCAAAACATTCATAAGCATCACTCATATCAATCAACATAAACATTATACATTCCAACACATTCATACATAAACATCATAAATTTCACACATTCATACATAAACATCATACATTCCAACACATCCAGACATAAGCCAACTGTGCTTCGAAAGGGTTCAACATACTTTGTGTCTTCGACACTTGCTACAATGTGCCTCGACACCTTACCCTTATTCTCACCAACCAGGTGATGAGATGTGAAGAAGGAACTCATCTTCAAGCCACCAACTAGGTGATGAAATGTACAACTCATACTCTCCTTCATGCCACCAACCAGGTGATCAAATGTACAACCCGTACTCTAATATCATTTGGCAACTTGCCACTTATGCCACCAACCAGGTGAAGAAGGAACTCATCTTCATGCCACAAACCAAGTGATGAAATGTACAACCCGTACTCTCTTTCATGCCACCAACTAGGTGATGAAATGTACAACCAGTACTCTAATATCATTTGGCAACTTGCCACTCATGCCACCAACCAGGTGAAGAAAGAACTCATCTTCATGCCACCAACCAGGTGATGAAATGTACAACCCGTACTCTCCTTCATGCCACCAACCAGGTGATGAAATATATAACCCGTACTCTAATATCATTTGGCAACTTGCCATTCATGCCACCAACCAGGTGAAGAAGGAACTCATCCTTGTGCCACCAACCAAGTGATGAAATGTGATGAAAGGTGATGAAGGGACTCACCTTTGCACCACCAACCAAGTGATGAAAGCAACTCACAATTCATTCCACCTACCAGAAGACAAGTGGTACAACTTGTACATGTGAACTCCTAGCATTCATAAATAATCAAAAACCCTCAAGCTTGACAACTCAACTAGGGGAGCACTTATGCCCAACAAGAGTTATGGTCACCAACAAAGTCTTATTACAAGCCAACAACAACTTCAGTGCATGGCATACGAAGATCAAGCTATTCAGCTCTTTTGCA